TAATTTCTAATTACTTTTAATGTTAATTTCACAGATTCCATTCAGTTTTAATTTATGATCCTGTAGATTTCTTTTGCACGATAAGTATTAGATTTGTCCACCGATGACGAGATGTCTCATGGGACGGAAGAGGGGAAGAAGGGATACTACTCTTAGTTTTACACGAGCCTAATTAGTAGATGTGATCACTTTGACCAATCATACATCACGACCGAAAGTACCTGCGAGCTGAGGTGGGGCGCGACAACTCAGATAGCGTTATTCTCATAAAACTTCTTCTGATCGGTGGACACTACTTTTAAATGATTGAAACGTTATATATGCATAGGTATAGTATCGAGCATTGTAGAACGCGATGCCTTCCTCCCTGTCGATTTCTTCGGGTACGCCAGGCCTGTCCAAGTAGGGGAATCCACTCCTGGAACACATGTTTTGGGTCCCCTTCCAACGCTGCTCCTTCAAGTAAGATGGGACGGTTCCGACTACCGTCTCTCCGTCTTTCCTAGCGGCGGTACTGTCTCCTCGGAGAGATGGAGCTTGAAGGAGCAGCGTTGGAAGGGGACCCAAAACCTGTGTTCCAGGAGTGAATTCCCCTACTTGGACAGGTCTAGGGTACGCGGTCCTCGCTGCAGGCTTCTCCTTCCACTGGCAACCGCCCCATCGCGTTGGCGGCCCCGCGTAGAATAACGAGGTAGAAGAGAAGGTCCTCTATACATATATAGGTCTGATGCTCCCCACCACCTACGTATAAGCGTTCGCGCGGGATAATTTGAATTGATATTAATGCTATTCTTCATATTTCTTAATTACGTGCTGAATTTTATAATGTTTAATTATTAAAAACAATATTATTTTGTTTCTAAATCTCCTTTAATATTAATATCGTAAAAATTAAGTTTTTGAAACTTTCCTTCTTCCCCTGTAACGCCATTTTCCCAAGAGAAACCTATACTGCTCAATACAGACACTAATATTTGTTCAAATTATGTTTTTTCTATATGATTAATTAGAAATATGATGACAATAATTATAAAATAATTAGAATTATTATCAAATAACACATTATAATCCTTGTTTTAAAGAAAAATATTATCATTCCTATCACACTACCTTACAAGCGTATATGTATCTCCTTATAATAAATACTTTTTTCATTTTTATATTAAACAGAGTATACCTACTATCTCTAGTACCAAGTAACAAAATGCCTTTCCTATGGACACCTTCAGAGAACTCTACAGAGTATCATCAATATTTACATAGGCGAACACCTTCATCGATTTTGATACCCCTTCGGTGCTCATCTTTGTGATACAAGATAGTTCTCAAAGCTGGCTATCTCGGACCTATAACAGAATTTCGTTATCGTGCTAGTTAATGTAACCCTATTAATAATCCAACGAACAAAGGTGATAAGGTGTTCAAGTACACTTATTGAAATTGTCCTGGAAATCCCTACATTATATACACCTCATGGACTCGGGGGCATTGTTTCACCCTTAATCTTTATTACGTAAGCTCTTTGAGCTGTATTTGGAGCACGGAAAGACTTTTAACGAATCTGGGATAACAATACTTTGGTGACTTGAAGCAAAATAGTAAAATTTGGTAATTTTTCGCATATATTACTGCAATTTTTGAAATCAATAAATGTGTCATTCAAAATAATAGTTTTAGCTATTAATAATAATAATTTTATCTAAAGGATGTAATTATTATACAAAGTTTGACAACAAAAACGCCATCTTAGTAATAAATTTTATTAATATAATTTGGAACAAATTAAGATTGGGGCTTTCTTCATTGTCCGCCATCCAACGGTTAATATTGCTTTGATGATCCACTTTCATAAAAAAATAATTTTTTGCATAAAAACAATTACAAATTGTTTATAATCAGAAAGTTAGCTTTTCGTCTTTTCAAATTTTTTTATAAATGGATTTATATTACTTTTAAAATAAACGGCCCAGTTAAATCTTTAGCACACACGATTAAGCAATTCATAAAACATTTTTATTCCAATCAAATATTGATTAAGCGTGAAACGACGAAACTGGAACGGTTTAGTTGGCCGTGAACGACGGAGGAAGGTGGACAAGATAAATATGAAAAGGATAGAAATCAGGTTTATCGCATCGATAAGCAGTATGCGCGAGCCGTTTGAACGGGTCTTAGCAAGACGGACCAGAAATTTCATTTCCTGGATGGATCTCTGGAGACAGATCGATTGTTCCGGAACCCTCTTCTGCCCGGGTCAGGACGACGAGAGATTCACTTTGACACGTCGAGCGATTCTAGGATGATCCTTTACTCTTTTTCCCCCCAGCCTCTTTCTTCATGATCTTTCCTCCCTTACGTGTTGTTTCACTCCAGAAGAGAACCTGCAAAAAGGTAGTACCAGTAACGTCAACCTTGGTGTTGCTGCAATTCTATCGGAACGAAATTCGCGTAAGTCGTCCAACAGTTTCATCCTGCTTCCCTAATTCCGCTCGAACCTCCCAGGAGTATCCTTTCCACCCGTAATGCCGCACCATCCCTTCGCGCGCTATATGTTTGTGGTTTGTTAGAAGGACGTAACAAATAAGGTAATCTTCCACACATATAGCCGGCTTGTTGAGACCGGGTGCCGTGCTGACTCTAAAACAGCACCGTCGGAAGAAACCCTTTTTCTTTGTCTCTTTCCCCTCATTCTACTTCGTCTTCCTCCGCCGTTTCCTTGACTTTCTTCCTGCCGCTGGGTCCAGGGCGAACGACCGAGAAAACGTCGACGAACCGACACGGAACCGTTGGAAAAAGGAATCGGCTCTCGGGGCGGTGTTTACGATTGTATAGGTGCGCACCGACACGCTGGAATAGTGGCGTAGGTTCCATGGAGGAAGACGGAAAGCTCCGTGAAAAACGGTGGCCTGCGGAGTTTCGAAGAGAGAATCGTCAGGTTCACGCATGCAAGAGAGCCGCCGGGTCTACGTGGTCAGGAAGCTGGAAACACTGGATCTTATATTCTCGGCATTTCTTCATTACGGGATCATACGCGGTGCAGTGTGAACGCGAGCGTTCCTGCTACCAGCGTGAAACGTGTGCGTCGTTAGACAGCTCGAAGAATTCTCAGCCGCGATAACGCGCTAACCTGCGGTTCACCGGTCAAAGCCTGAACGCCCGTTTTCCTCGTTGCCTGCTTTCCACCCGCCGCGATTCTTCCATGCAGATTTTTTCAAACGTCGTGCGCCCATATGTGCAAAACGCATTAGGAACTGTCTTACTTTTACTCTCACTATGATTAACGCTGAGTGCGTTCGTGGAAAGGCTTGTGAAATTGATATTTAGAAAAGGTCTTAACCCTAGTTCAGACACGTCGAGTAGTTTAATAATATACTGTGTATTGTAGGCGTTAGTGGAGGAGGAGGGAGGGTTTCGTCTCCCCGGATACCTTTAGTTCGGGTCGGGGACCGCTAGGTGGCGGCGAGAGATCGGTGACAGTGCTCTCGCAAGCGGTCGCCCGGCATGCGGTTTGAATACAGTAAAACTTGGATAAATGCAACCGAGATTTGGACCCTATGGTTTCTTTTATCCAAGCGAGGTGTCGATTCTGGGCATTTAGTGTTTCATTTATCCAAGCGAGGTGTCGATTCTGAGTCCGTACACATCTTTTGTATTCAGTACTGTATACAGTAAAACCTGGATAAATGCAACGAAAGAATGCTTGGATAAGTGCAACATCGCTATCCCCTCCACTTGGGGGGATCCCCCTAGGTGAACTGAGCCGCTAGGTGTAACTAATACTAATTGAACGATACAACTTTTTTATTTTTAACTTTTTCTTAATGAAACTTTTACTAACGCATTTGTGAGATTTTTGTCATAAACGCAAATGTCATAAACACATGCATAATTTATTTCAGTTATATCGTATAGTAATTTTGAAAAGGATCCAATATTATTAACCCTTTGCGGACGATCGACGCATATGCGTGTCCAAACATAATAGTCATAGTAATTTATAATTTCCTACATATTGCGTTATACTCTTGATACAAACCATAGTTATGAGTGCAGATAGTAAAGATTTATAATATATATTTTGAAGATTGCAATTAGTACTTCTTTTACTTTTAATTAATAATACTCTGTAAAAACTTAAGAATGCTCCGTCTTCAAAATGTTAGAATGACAAAATTTATTTTTAAAACCAAATAGGCACCGTTCAAATTTATTTCAGTTACGTTATACGATAGTTTCGAAAAAGACCCAATATTATTTATTAAATTGTCAAAACTTAATTGCTCTTATGGAAAAAATGCTATATCCTATGAGACTTGGAGAAAGCGGTTTGTTTATAGATTTCATAAAATTCTTTGACAAAAAAAATATTTATAATGGACATTCTTAAGAAATTTATAGAGCAATACTTTTGAAATAATAAGTAGAGACTTTTTTTTTAATTACAAAAGATATGGGGCAAAGTCAAGGCGGCATGAACTTTCCGGATGACCTAAATAAATGAAAGAAACTTAGTTTTACATATGCTTTAGAAGGAACGTACGGCTTTCAGGAGGAATATTAACTAGTAGCAATTTGCTGTCCTTTGAAATTAAATTAGGTCAGGACAAATTGCAATGCATAACGGTGCACTTGTTATAGTAGAAAATGAATTAAGAAACTATAGTTTTCTAACAGCATCTACGTAATTACATTTTAAAATGTTTCTTTTTCTTTCTACACGAATCTATTACTATTTTGTTATTGAAATTACTGAATAATTAAGAAAATATCGACACTCCAATCTTTTTTTCTAATAATGGTAAACAAGAATTAATTTTATAGTTGAAAATCATTATAATATAGTATAACATATATCAAATGTAATGCAAGTACGACTCATAAAGCAAACATTGATTCAAATTTTCCCGCGTGAATGTTTAAATGCATGTGGTGGGGGCTACAGACCTATGTATATGGGGCCTCTTCCCATACGTCGTCACTTTTTTCGGGACCGTTTTCAGAGACAGACAGGTTGGAGTCCGGAGAGGAGAAAATCTACGAGAATGGTCAGGAATTTTGGCACCAAAGAATTGAAGAGATTACGGAAGGAAGGATGGTCTATCGCCATTTTTCCTAAGGAAGCCTTTTTTCATTCATTAGAAGGGAAGTACTATTATGGACGCACAAACAACCCCCCAGTTTATGGGCTGTCAAGGTAGTGTAAGACTCTGGGGAAAAAATCGTAGTGATACCATATCCACTAAAATCCCTATCTTCTTGACCACTGACGCAGCTTGTACTTACGTAGTGCATCAATGTAAACCACGCTGAAACTTTCTTTTAACCACAACTTAATCGGGAACGAGGTTGGGTATCTACATCAACGCACCTGCCAGTTATGTGACAGGACCTTTTCTTTCTACGCAAAATGGCCCTAGAGAAGTCTGCTTTTCTCGACACTGTACACTATCCAATTCAATATTTGATCGTAACTCAAATAATTTTGTTCACAAACTTATACAAGAAATTTATTAGAAAATTTTTAATTATGTTTCACATCTTATTTTGCTCTAAAATAATAACACTCGTAGTATGTACTACCCGATTTCAAAATTGATCACTTTTTATTTTTCTTTAGAAAAAGTATAGAATTTGCAACTTTTATGAGGTTCCCTAAAAACATTAATTTCTTTTTTTTTATAACTATTCTAAAACTTTGTAAATCAAAAAACAAAATAGACGTTCAATATCACTATTACCTTTATAATTTATTTATATTTATTTTTAATTTTACCATCCAGTATCCTCTCCTTTACAAATCAATTTTAAATTTACAAACCGAATACCTTCACTGCAAATGTCATTCTGTTCACAATGAAGATTGCAAATTGCAACAGGAATCGCCGTTGAAACGAAGCAATCTTTTGTTGCAACCTTGGTATTCACATGACAGATAAAAACCGTGAAAACAGTGATGTTACATGTATACTCACACCGTATTTGGAAGAGGTCGTACGATAATTTCGCTTGACGTTTAATCACGTTAATGGACAAAAAGTGTTATCAGTGGCATGCAAAGCAGTCTGGTGTCTGCAGCCTGGCTTCCGGTTTATCAGGCGACGTTCGTTCGTCACGCGACAAAATGTACAACGAACTAGTAGTTGCGTGTCGCACGACTTTAAGGTGTACTTAGCTCATTAAGACACCCGATTCCACCCTGCACGCATTACATTAATTAAGGTTGAATTAAGCTAATTGCGTTCCTGCGTCTTTTGTCCTACCGTATTTTCACCCTCGACCATAATGATTTCGTTATCACACCAACCTCCCATCCTGTTAATTACTTTACTTTTATCGCGGTGCCATCAACGATCCTGCGTACATCCAATTACTTTACCTTTGTCGAACAAAACGTTCTATTTTGATACCAACTATCGTGACACGTTATCTATACAGAATATGACAACTTGTTTTGCAATCATAAAAGAGATAATGCAACTTACAAGGGATGTCATTTAACTGATACATTGATGCAACTTTGGTATGATATGTAATTTTATATACTGCAATAACTGTATTTCAAATTTTGAATTAATTATGATACCTTACTATATTTCAAAAATACAAAAAGATGGATGCAGTTAGGAGTGGGCGGGTACTCAAAAATTCGGACGCCCAAGCCTCGAGTCCGGTCGGGTCAAGTTCCGAATTAATATTCGGGTTGCGAAATTGCGAATACTCGAATAAATAAATATATATATATGCTAGTCAAACTTTCAGGCCCTATCCGATCTGACCCAATCATTACCCGAACCAACCCGACCCGAGGATCGAGTACTCAGACTAGATGCAATATTATTGTTAGTATGATGTGCAATTTTTATATTGCAATAACTATTTGAAATTTTGGGCACCGAGCCTCGGATAAGGTCGAATGGAGTCGGAAGGATCCTTGAAAATTTGTTCGAAAACCCGTGATTTCAGGACTTGAGTATCAAACTTTCAACCCTTTCTCAAATTTGAAAATTTAAGGTAATTCTGAAAAATCATGCTCCGAATACAGCGTCCGCTAGCGATTGAATTTCGGGTCTTGAGTCGTGTCCGAGTTCTGAATTGATATACGAGTACCCGAATAAATTTGTATTCTGAACGAACTGTCTAGGTCCCGCCCAATCCAACCCGATTTGAGATTCGAGTACCCAAATTTTTGGGTACCCGCACACCCCTAATGATTTTAATAGGATATCCAATTTTTATACTGTAATAACTTCATTCAAAATCTTAAATTAGTTATTAAATTATTTGGAATTATTTGAATTTATTTGGACTGCCATGGAAATGAATCACTGATATTTTTCAATTTACTGAATTATTATAAAAAACGAAGGAATTGAAAATAACGCTTCCAGATTATTACTTTATATAATCCCGAATAATTTCAATTATCACCTGGCATACTAAGTACGACAACCACCACCGTCGCAGCGAATGTGTTAATGAATTCAAACGGAACACGTTTAGCACATGTACCTCGATTCTAACTGAAACTCTAACTGAATAATGAAATGATTGAAAACAGATGCTTGGAAAGCCGCGAACCGCAAATGAAATATGTCAATAAATCCGGTAGAATTTCCGGCTCCTTGTCGTCAAGTATCAAATAGAGTTAAATTTAAATATAGTCAGTCTGATAGTTGAGAAATAGTAATAGATAGAAAGAGAGGGGATGACATTTTCATTTGGTTGGACAAAGTCGAGTTCTCGAACTGCTCGGAGAAAATCTTGGAAGCAAATCACCCACATCACGAGAAGCAAGTTTTAGAGTGAACCGTAGCTACTCCTCTTCCCAGCCAGTATAACGCTCTAATGTCCATTATTAAGTTAACCGATCCGCGTTATTGTTCACCCCTCGACTCTCCTAATACCCACTTATCCAGCTCGAAGGGACGAGTCTTCGAGGTGGCCGCCACCGCTTTCAGGAACTCTCGACGGCGAAGCTCGAGAGAGCTTACCGCACCGGAGAATAGAAACTGGGGCACACAGGTAATCTCTGGTGGTTTCTCCTGATTTTCAACGAGAACACGTGCCCAGCGCCGCGACAGGCGTACGAATTACAAAATTACTGCCGTATCAGCGAAACTATTCCAACGAAATGCTCGGTAAAGCTTGCTACCACTTTGCGTCTCCTTTTCTACACGTGGCTTGCGTGCCACCCTGCACTGATCTCGCGCGCTGATACGATTTCAATTCAAATGCTCTCAATGGTACTTACCTGTAAGGCCAACATCAACAAACCAGAAGTGTAATTAGCTGGAAAATCTTCAAAATATAGTTGAATCAAGACAAATCAGATTCACGATCTTTTGTTATGTGCTTTCAGTGTTCTGTATTGGCTGTGTTAATTTATAAAGAGGAGCTTTTGTCTCCAGTTGCTTGAACCTTCAACTTCTCATTCTTTTAATATTTTGAAGAAGTCATACTCAGTAGCACAGTCGTAATTGCAAGGGGGGCAAATTAATTTACACCTTGGTAGCATCATAATAATATTAACTAAGTCTAATTTTCTTCATTTTTGTTTATTCTAAAGTTTCCTGAAATTTTCAAACATATCCTGACATTTATTTTAAAAAAAACAACAAGTTTTTAATTGTTTAACAGAGGGGTTAATTAATCCTTCTGGCCCCCACCCCTATCCCAGTCATGTTGTTAATCATACCACTGTAATCATAAATACATTTCTCTCGTGTGAATCCTTTTGTCAAAAACACTGGTTTATTTATCATTTGTAATTCTTTAAATGTGAATTGGGTATTACTAACAATAAGAAAATTTAAATATTGGTACTGAATTACCTGCACTATAATAATAATTTCAAAATAAGTTTATCCCCCTGAAATTTATTTAAGATCACTTTTTATCATACCATAAAATTCGAAAGTTAAAATGACATCGATAAAAATTGATGAGCCTATAGTTATTGAACAAGTTGCTTTCTCCCCAACCTCGTTACCCTAAGATCGAGTAATATTGATATTTCAAGAACATTGGGATGATTGGACAAATTCGGCTAACTTTCTATTGGAAACGCTTCAATTGTATCTCCAGAAAACATGGACACGAGTGAAATCACTTAAGTTCCCTTTGAAATCGAACAGTTGTATGAAATGTTTCCACTGCTGTTCCGTACCGCCGTTCATGAATGGAAAAATTACATTCTTTGTCGTAATATAAAAGTAACATTAGAGTGGGAACTTTTGGAATGCTTGAACTTCCACGAAAACGAGATTCAGATTTTCAGATAAGGACATCAAGAACTGTTGAAGATTTGAATCTGATGATGGTTGGAATTTATTCAATCGTCAGAATTTGTAATCAGACAGGGGGGATGAGATTAGCATTAACATTGGGAGTAATGAAACATTTGTACTTCTTAGAAGTTTGTAATATTATTACTTTTTTAGTACATTGTATACAAAGAACTCATTAAACTGTGTAAAAGGCTGATGCTATTAATCCAATGGGCCATGGACCAAAAATTTCTTCAGTAAAATTTCGACACAAACTTTGCATAAAATGATAGATCTTTCGTCCTGATTACAACGGTGTATATCATTAAAATGGCCGATTTATCGTTCCAGAGAAAATGGACCCTGAAGGTTATAAATCCCATAGATGTCGTTACAATCGAGCGGCATTTTCAATTCTCCAAATGGTCCGTAATCGGACCTTAGCAAAAGGGTTAAGTGCAATTGATAATATTGGCCAATTTTAACCTAATCAATTTCTTTTTAAGTTCTGCTGCATAAATATTAATATACATATACAATTATAATTTATTATACCATACAGGATGAGTCAGATAAAGTGTTACAAGCTATTATCTTGAAAACTATAGCAGCTATCGACCTAATCTTTTTCTGAAATTAAATGATACGAAGTGGGGACGGAATAAACCGACGTCATATTTTTTAAATGGCATGTAATACTAATTTCTTTTGATTTAAATAATTTTTACCAAACTGGATTGTATTTACTCGAACCATTTTTTGATATTCTTAATAGTTAACAATTCAAAGCAAAGGGAAAAAGACGACGTCAGTTTATTCTTACCCCTTGGAAGCCACTTTAGAAAAATGTTTGAAAAAAAAATTAGGTCAATAGCCGTTACAGTTTCCAAGATAATAGTTTGTAATACTTTATCTGACTCACCCTATATATTACGTTATTATCATATTTTTGTTCCTATTGATATTAATATGAATTCTGATTATTCACAATTAGAAATTTATAATCAATCATAAATCATACTTTAATACGAATCCATTAAACCAGAAACTGTTCCGTTGATTAAAAAGCAAACACGCGCGAGACTCGTAAGGCTGTCTGTAGGGCCGTTAAACGTTAAGCGAGGTTAGGTATTCGGTGAGACGGTAGTGTATATCCTAGGTTCCCG